ATATCCCATGCTCATGGATTGGAAAAATAAATATTGGGGGCTTCTGGCTGGCATAGTCAGTAGAGCATGTGACTCTTGATCTCAGGGATGGTAAGTTCGAGCCACACACTGGGTATAGAGATTACTTAAAAATAATAAAAAAAATCTTTAAAAAAAAGAATATTATTAAAAATGTCTACACTACCCAAAGCAGTATATAAATTTAATGCAATCCCTATCAAAACACCAACAGATTTTTCAAAGAACTAGAACAAACAATCCTAAAATTTGTATGGAACCACAAAAGACCCCAACTAGCCAAAGCAGTCTTGAAAAAGAAAAACAAAACTGGAGGTATCACAATTCGAGATTTCAAGAATCCCTACAAAGCTGTAGTAATCCAAACAGTACAGTAGTAGCACAAAACAGATATATGAATCAATGGAATGGAAGAGAACACCCAGAAATAAGCCCACAGTTATATGGTCAACAAATCTTTGACAAAGGAGGCAGGAATATGCAAGAGGGAAAAAGTTCCCTCAATCAATGGTAGTCGAGCTAGGGCTAAGCACTTATTTCTTTCCAGGACTTTCTAGTTCTTAAATTTTATGCTTGTATTTGATTATAGATGTCAGTGACATTTCATGGTTTCAAAAGTCCTTGATGCTCTGAGAAGTGTAGAGTCTAGTGAAAATTACATCGCCATAAAAGAAATGTGTTTTGGGGGCACCTGGGTGGCTCAGTGGGTTAAAGTCTCTGCCTTCAGCTCAGATCATGATCTCAGGGTCCTGGGATCGAGCCCCACATCAGGCTCTCTGCTTAGCAGGGAGCCTGCTTCCCCATCTCTCTCTCTTTCTGCCTGCCTCTCTGCCTACTTGTGATCTCTCTCCGTCAAATAAATAAATAAAATCTTTTTTTAAAAATGTGTTTTGTTTTTGTTTCCTTTTTAAAAGTTGTGCTATTATTGGTTCTACACTCCCTAGAATACTACTGCTTTGTGAAAGTCCAACTGGATGCAGCGCCCTCCATGTATTTAGTACATTTGTAAGCCTGGGTCTCTTACTACTTGATATGTTTGCATTAGTTAAGAGAGAAACTTGGTAGCTTGGTAGCTCAGTTAGAGGGGAGAGGTAATCTGCTCCTAGATGGGTCTGAACTGAGCCATACTCGTCTGAGTAAGAGTTGGGAAACATAACCTCTGTAAATTAAAAAAAAAAAAAAAAAATTAGTCGAACATCACATAGTAGGCAGCCATTAAATTATTTAAAAAGTTAATTTATGGGGGTGCCTGGGTGGCTCAGTGGGTTAAAGCCTCTGCCTTCGGTTCAGGTCATGATATCAGGGTCCTGGGATTGAGCCCCGCATCCTGCTCTCTGCTCAGCGGGGAGCCTGCTTCCCTCTCTCTCTGCCTGCCTCTCTGCCTACTTGTGATCTCTGTCAAATAAATAAAATCTTTTAAAAAAAAAAGTTAATTTATGAAGAAAAACCTTCTGTACAGATTGGGAAAAAAAGATTTTCATGGAGATAACTGTATGATCAAGAGAGTTAACTTTTTATTTTTGCTTTACTAGTGCCACAAACTTGCCAGGGGTAATTGTTTGGTTCAAGAAAACTGTGGTTTTCTTTCCTAGGATTTGTTGCTAAATGCCAAAAGACATTTTTGAACTGTACATTTGATCAGATTGTTAGCCTTTTCTGTTTTCCTTCTTTTGAAAACCCTTGACTAAAAAACATCTGAATTTTTTTTTTTAATGGTGTTGGGAAAACTAGTCAAAAGTATGCAAAAGAATGAAAATGGACCACTTTCTTGCACCAGACACAAAGATAAACTCAAACTTTATTTCACTAGGCAAGGGAGAAGAATTTGAGTTAGTAACTGACCCTGGCTCCTAATGAGTAAGTCCAGGGAACAAATAAATAGCTAGGAGGTCGGGACGCCTGGGTGGCTCAGTGGGTTAAAGCCTCTGCTTTCAGCTCAGGTCATGATCCCAGGTCCTGGGTTCGAGCCCCGCATCGGGCTCTCTGCTCAGCAGGGAGCCTGCTTCCCCTCCCCTCTCTCTGCCTGCCTCTCTGCCTACTTGTGATCTCTGTCTGTCAAATAAGTAAATAAGATCTTTAAAAAAAAAATAGCTAGGAGATCAGTGATTTCTAATGTAACATCCTGAAGGGAGGAAGAGCAGGGAAGAACTAGATCCAATTCTGATGAGAGGTGGTGAGAAATCCTTGCAAAAAGACTGAAACTTCATCACAGAGAAGAATTGCCCACAAGCTACCTGCTCAGGGGAGAGCTTGGGAGGGCACCATCCTCCTCTGCTTCTCTTTGAATAAGTAACTGAGATTGTGCGCTCAGTAGCAGCAAAGCCAGGGCCCAGGTGGAATCAGGATCATTACATCTTTAACCTAGCCGGAATCACTAACATCACATTCGTAATCAACAGACACCCTCCCACCCCAGAGCCAACAGTAAGAGATCATAAGCAGACAGGAGTTTGTTTCTACCACTTCCTTCTCTAAACATTACATCCAAACCAAACTGCCTCTTTGCCTTTTTAGAGGCAGCTACTGAACGCATACATGGATGGGGTCAGGAAGGTTTAGAAAATACTGTATTTCTTGCCCTTAATTCCTGTAAATCCTGTAACAGAAAAAACTAGAATAAGAATTTTTTAATTTTTTATTCATCCATTCTTTTATTTATGATATGATTCACTGATACCAGCACTATTTTAGGTGGGGGGGGAGGATATAACAATAGATATGATCGAGTTCATGTTCCTCAAAAAAAAAAAAAGAACTAGGAAAAATGGCCAACAGACACATGAAAAAGTGCTCAACATCACTCGACATCAGGGAACTACAAATCAAAACCAGAGTGAGATACCACCTCACACCAGTCAGAATGGCTAAAATTAACAAGTCAGGAAATGACAGATGCTGGCGAGGATGCGGAGAAAGGGGAGCCCTCCCACACGGTTGATGGGAATGCAAGCTGGTGCAGCCACTCTGGAAAACAGCACTCTGGAAAACAGGTTCCTCAAAAAGTTGAAAATAGAGCTACGCTAAGACCCAGCAATCGCACTATGGGGTATTTATCCTAAAGATACAAATGTAGTGATCTGAAGAGGCAGGTGTACCCAAATATTTATAGCAGCAATGTCTACAATAGCCAAACTATGGAAAGATGTCCATCAACGGATGAATGGATAAAGAGAAGTGGTGTGTATATACAATGGAATACTATGCAGCCATCAAAAAATGAAATCTTGCCATCTGCAACAACGTGGATTGAACTAGAGGGTATTATGCTAAGCAAAATAAGTCAATCAGAGAGGGTCAATTATCATATGATCTCACTGATTTGAGGAATTTGAGAAACAAGACAGAGGATCAGAGAGGAAGGGATAGAAAAATGAAACAAGATGAAACCAGAGAGGGAAACAAACCTTAAGAGACTCTTGGTCTCAGGAAACAAACTGAGGGTTGCTGGAGTGGAGGCGGGTGGGAGGGATCAGGTGGCTGAGTTATCAACATTGGGGAGGGTATGTGCTACGGTGAGTGCTGTGAACTGTGTAAGACTGATGAATCACGAACCTGTGTCCCTGAAACATATAATACACTATATGTTAATTTTTTTTAAAACTGAGAGAAAGGTAAGAGATTGTAATCCAGCATCATCAATAGTACAGTACAGAAAGATGGTCCCCTTCAGTATTCCCTCCTACGTCTTTTAAACAGCACCTTCCCTCCCTATCTATCTCCAAACCCTACATTTTTTTTAATATTTTATTTATTTATCAGATAGAGAGTGAGCGTGAGAGTGAGTGAGCACAAGCAAGGGAGCAGCAGGCAGAGGGAGAAGCAGGCTCCCCGCCAAGCAGGGAGCCCGATGTGGGACTCGATCCCAGGACCCTGGGATCATGACCTGAGCCGAAGGCAGACACTTAACCGACTGAGCCACCCAGGCGTCCCTCTCCAAACCCTACTTAAGAGAAATAACCAAGTTTTTCTCATTTTTGAGGCATTCATGCCTAAAATAATTTGGGAATCAAGCACATAAATGGCTTCTGTAAACTTTCCTCAGATTGACCACTATTGTGAAATTAACCTGCAAATCACACATCCACAACATGGAAAAGATATGGTCATATAACAGTTTATTCAACCACATCTATGCACGCCTAGAAAAATTAAATTCAGCCAAGGCCAGGTCTTTAAGTGGTGAAGAGCTGAGAAGCAGAAAGCACCACCCTGTTCTCATCCTCTTTCAACAACTTAGGTTCTCACTATTAGCATTATCCTTTAGAATATAGTTTTCTTCGTGAAGGGCCACCATTAGGATAAAAATATATTATGAGGAATAAGTAACATGCCAACTTCCTAGCACACATCAAAAACACCTATAAGGAGGGAGGGGCGCCTGGGTGGCTCAGTGGGTTAAGCCTCTGCCTTCAGCTCAGGTCAAGATCTCAGGGTCCTGGGATCAAGCCCCGCATCAGGTTCTCTGCTCGGCAGGGAGCCTGCTTCCCCCTCTCTCTCTCTGCCTGCCTTTCTGCCTACTTGTGATCTCTCTCTGTCTGTCAAATAAATAAATGAAGTCTAAAAAAAAAAAAAAAAAAAAAAAAACACCTATAACACATGAGCAATAGTATATACCTGCGCAGATTTCATCAGTTCGGACCATAACATAGAGGAAAGGTACACTTTTGACAGAAATGATGGGAATGGGGAATGAAGGAGGCAGCATAAGTCACTACAGTAAGAAGTACTACAAAAAATTTGTATTTCCCAAATGATCCTAGATCTGATCTTTAAACTGTTAGGATAATATCTAAATGTTCTCAAGGAGAGTCCAGCAACAAATCTTCAGTTCCCAGGGAAGCTGCACTAATCTTACATCGAATGCTATGTCCTAGAAGGTTCAGCATTCACCAAATACATGCTCATGGTCATCTGAGCACCCAGAGGCCTGCTCCCTCTTGTGAGGGAGCCTTACCACAGATCTGACTCCCTCAAAGTCTGACCTTCTTACAGATCCACGGTAAAGAAACTTCACAGCTAGAGGCTTGGAGACCGTTTCCATTGATGGCTCCACACTTCTGGATCAAGTTGTTTAAAATAATGCTGTAAGAAATCAGGAAAGTCAATCACTTAAGGTAACATGAGAGCAAAGGAGCTGCAAGGCATGGAAGAGTTAAAAACTGGGCAGTTCTTTCTCCCTATTCAGGCCCTACTTCTTTCAGTTCCCAGAACATTAGCCTCTCTTTTTTTCGTTGTTGTTGGGGTTTTTTGTTGTTGGTTTTGGTTTTTTGGTTTTTTTGGTTGGGGGGGGGGCGGTTTGGCTCTTATCCACTATTCATTTCCTCTCCTGTTCTCTAGTTCCTTTCCTTACCCTTTCCTCTCCTCACTGTCTGTTAACCTTGACCTATTTCCCCATCACATACTTTCTCTTCTCCTTTTCTCTTTTTTCCCCATTGTTTTGAACCCCCTTACCTTGAGATGTTTAGGGGTGACCCATCTCCCCACCTCCAGCCAGCTTCGTTCCTCAGACCAATCCAGTAAAAATCATCTTTGAGTAACTGTTTAACCAGGCTCTAGGGAGAGATTGAAGATGATGGAAAAAGGTAAGAAAATGTAGGAAACCAAAGAAGTGATTCAGTGTCATGATCAATAAATATTCTTTACACCCCCTCTCATTACTATTATTATGGACTGAATATTTATTTCTCCCCAAAATTCATATATTGAAGCTCTAACTTATAACATGATGGTACCTGGGCATATGGCCTTTGGAAGGTTATTAGTTTTAGACAAGGTCATGAGGCCCTCACTAATGATGAGATTAGTGTCCTTGTAAGAAGAAGAGGTCCCAGTGCACTCTCCCTCTATCAGGAAAGGACACAATTAGAGGGCAGCTGTCTGCAAGCCACAAACAAGATCCTTACCAGAGACAGAACCCATCAACATTTTGATCTTGGACTTCCCAGCCTCTAAAACTGTGAGACATCAATGTCTGTGGTTTAAGCCACCCAGTGATATTCTGGCTAGCATTTCAAGCTGACTAAACCACCACCTAGTCCAAATAACTAATCCCTCTTTTAAACTCTAATTCTAGAGTTACACTGCAGAGTGCAACATTTCCTATAATTCAACTTAATATGTATAATTGCATTCTATAGCATGAAAGACATTATACTCTGCCTTCCACTGTAACTTCCTCGGTTAGATAAAGTACTTAGTAGGTATTCAAATAACTTTTACAGAAGAAAAGCTTAATACCACTATGGAAGCAGTCATCTTTCTCATTATCATTTAATATAAAATTTATTATTAAGCTTGTAGCAATATACTTGCTTTTTTCCCACTACACTCCCATTTTTCAAGTTCTCATCAATCTTGCATATGACAAGTAAAATAAAAACAGTTCTTAAGGAAACAAGCATAAGACAAAATTAAGTTGGTCCTGTGCTACCACTAGAACAGAGATAACAGATTCTTTGCTCTGTAGAGTCTGAACAGAGATAACAGATTCTTTGCTCTGTACAGTCTGACATTCAAATGAAGGAGTTATACTCTGAGGTAATTGCCTCAATAAGTGGAATAAAATAAAGGATAAATCCCAGAAGATTAATTATATTGTAGGATTTGGTGTTAGTGTAATGAATAGACTTTGCAATAAACATCTTCAGCTTTGAAAATTTCTTTTGTTACAGAGACTTTTCTTGTGAGGCTGAATTTTCAGTGTGATGTTAAGGTTTTTTTTTTTTTTAATTTATTTGACAGAGAAAGATCACAAGTAGGCAGAGAGGCAGGCAGAGAGAGAGAGAGGAGGAAGCAGGCTCCCCGCTGAGCAGAGAGCCAGATGCAGGGCTCGATCCCAGGACCCTGAGATCATGACCTGAGCCGAAGGCAGAGGCTTAACCCACTGAGCCACCCAGGCGCCCCTCAGTGTGATGTTAATGTTAACAAGTAACTTGTTTCTTCATGAGCAAGAAGGATAAAATTGTAAGTCTGAAGACCAGTCTATTGATGGGAAACAGTTACATATAACACAAGAAACTCACATCCAAATCTGCAAAGAAGTCAAATTATCACTCTTAGCAGATGATATGATACTTTGTATGGAAAACCCAAAAGACTCCACTCCAAATCTGCTAGAACTTGTACAGGAATTCAATCAAGTGTCAGGATATAAAATCAATGCACAGAAATCAGTTGCATTTCTTTACACCAAAAACAAGACAGAAAAAAGAGAAATTAAGGAGTCAATCCCATTTACAATTGCACCCAAAACCATAAGATACCTAGGAATATACCTAATCAAAGAGGCAAAGAATCTATATTCAGAAAACTATGAAGTAAGTACTCATGAAAGAAATTGAGGAAGACACAAAGAAATAGAAAAATGTTCCAAGCTCATGGATTGGAAGAACAAATATTATGAAAATGTCTATGCTACCTAAAGCAATCTACACATTTAATGCAATCCCTATCAAAATCCCATCCGTTTTTTTTTTTTTTTTCAAAGAAATGGAACAAATAATCCTAAAATTTATATGGAACCAGAAAAGACCTCATATAAGGAGAGGAATATTAAAAAAGAAAGCCAAAGTTGGTGGCATCACAATTCCAGACTTATGCTCTATTACAAAGCTGTCATCATCAAGACAGTATGGTACTGGCACAGAAACAGACACATAGGTCAATGGAACAGAATAGAGAGCCCAGAAACAGACCCTCAACTCTATGGTCAACTAATCTTCGACAAAGCAGGAATAAATGTCCAACGGGAAAAAGACAGTCTCTTCAAAAAATGGTGTTGGGGAAATTGGACAGCCACATGCAGAAAAATGAAACTGGACCATTTCCTTACACCACACATGAAAATAGACTCAAAAAAGGGAGGCCTGGGTGGCTCAGTGGGTTAAGCCACTGCCTTCGGCTCAGGTCATGATCCTGGGGTCATGGGATCGAGTCCTGCATCGGGCTCCTTGCTCAGCAGGGAACCTGCTTCTCTCGCTGCCTCTGCCTGCCTCTCTGCCTGCTTGTGTGTACTCGCTTGCTCTCTCTCTCTCTCTCTGGCAAATAAGTAAAATCTTAAAAAAAAAAAGAAAAAGAGAAAAAAAGAAGAAAATAGACTCAAAATGGATGAAGGACCTCAATGTGAGAAAGGAATCCATCAAAATCCTTGAGAAGAACACAGGCAGCAACCTCTTTGACCTCAGCCATAGCAACTTCTTCCTAGAAACATCACCAAAGGCAAGGGAAGCAAGAACAAAAATGAACTATTGGGACTTCATCATGATCAAAAGCTTTTGCACAGCAAACAGTTAACAAAACCAAAAGACAACTGACAGAATGGGAGAAGATATTTGCAAACAACACATCAGATAAAGGGCTAGTATCCAAAATCTATAAAGAACTTATCAAACTCAACACCCAAAGGACAAATAATCCAATCAAGAAGTAGGCAGAGGACATGAACAGACACTTCTGCAAAGAAGACATTCAGATGGCCAACAGACACATGAAAAAGTGCTCAACATCACTTGACATCAGGGAAATACAAATCAAAACCACAATGAGATACCACCTCATACCAGTCAGAATGACTAAAATTAACAAGTCAGGAAATGCAGATGCTGGTGAGGATGCAGAGAAAAAGGAACCCTCCTACACTGTTGGTGGGAATGCAAGCTGGTGCAACCACTCTGGAAAACACCATGGAGGTTCCTCAAAAGTTGAAAATAGAGCTACCCTATGACCCAGCAATTGCACTACCGGGTATTTACCCTAAAGATATAAATGTAGTGATCCGAAGGGGCACGTGCACCTGAGTGTTTATAGCAGCAACGTCCACAATAGCCAAACTATGGAAAGAAACCTAGATGTCCATCAACAGATGAATGGATAAAGAAGTGGTATATAGGGATGCCTGGGTGGCTCAGTTGGTTAAGCAGCTGCCTTCGGCTCAGGTCATGATCCCAGCGTCCTGGGATCGAGTCCCACATCGGGCTCCTTGTTCTGTGGGGAGCCTGCTTCTCCTTCTGCCTCTGCCTGCCACTCTGTCTGCCTGTGCTCGCTCGCTCTCTCTCTCTCTCTCTCTGACAAATAAATAAATAAAATCTTTAAAAAAAAAAAGTGGTATATATATACAATGGAATACTATGCAACCATCAAAAGAAATGAAATCTTGCCATTTGCGATGACGTGGATGGAACTAGAGGGTATTATGCTTAGCGAAATAAGTCAATCAGAGAAAGACAATTATCATATGATCTCCCTGATATGAGAAGTTGAGAGGCAATGTGGGGGGTTTGGGTGGTAGGAAAAGAATAAGTGAAACAAGATGGGATCGGAGGGAGACAAACCATAAGAGACTCTTAATCTCACGAAACAAACTGAGGTTGCCAGGGGGAGGTGGGTAGGGAGAGGGTGGTGGGGTTATGGACATGGGGGAAGGTATGTGCTATGGTGAGTGCTATGAAGTGTGTAAACCTGGCGATTTACAGACCTGTATCCCTGGGGCTAATAATACATTATATGTTAATAAAAAAATAAAAAATTTAAAAAAAAAACAAGGAGCTCAGTTTGTATGTGTTTCAGAGCATAAGTGAATATTTAAAGGTATTAATGTGTATCTTTTTTAGATTATTTATTTATTTATTTATTTGACAGATTGAGAGGTCACAAGTAGGCAGAGAGGCAGGCAGAGGGAAGGGGGGGAGCAGGCTCCCTGCTGAGCAGAGAGCCTGATCTGGGGCTCGATCTCAGGAGCTTGAGATCATGACCTGAGCTGAAGGCAGAGGCTTAACCCACTGAGCCACCCAGGCACCCCTAAAGGTATTCATATGTATCTTAACAGATACTAAAGATCCTGGATTACAAGTGGTGGGCAAGCAAATATGTGTGCAAGAGCATTTGTGGACATTTGATAACTGATGTCCCTGTGTGTCCAGCAAATACTGTATGTATATTTAATGAGATAATGTCCTGCATCTTCTCAACACTGTACTTCTTATTCTTAATCCTCAAAGTCACAGCAAATCCCTTGTGAAAAAAAAATAAAAACTAATAAGAAAGCATCCAAATTATATCTCCATTCCTTCAATTTTGCTACCAGGAATCTTGTGTGTTAATGGTTTTGTTTGGTCACTTGGTTGGTTCGGTTTTCTCTGGGTTGGAGTTTGATCTGATAGATGTTAAACAAAAAGGCCATAACTTGTTCCTGTGATCATGCACTTCCTGACTATTTGTCTCAAGCTTCCTTCCTACATTAATGCTCTGAGATAACAAGCGACTTCATCTGGCAGTGGCCATCACAAAAGCATCATATTCTCAAATTCAGTGAACTTGCTTTGATCTCTCTCCTCACTTTCTAGACTTCTGTTTGGAGGAATAGAAACTCAAAAAGAGCAATTATTCCACAGCAATTTGGTGGCAGAACTTGGACTAGAACCCAAGGTCTTGCCCTAGTACCCAACACCTTGGCATGTCCTCTACTGAGATAGTCCATCTCTCTGCAACCTATCTGTCTCTTAAACAATGCTTTCTCAGAGTACCTGACTGGCTCACCTGGTATAGCATGAGACTC